GTCCTACGTCTCCCACGGCCTGCTGCTGGCTCCACCACAGCATGTACCATGCATTAGGGTCATTATCTGTAGGGCAATGTGTTCCTCCCTTGCAGACCGGGAGCCCCTTGGACCTGAGTTTGTACTGTATTTCTTCCAGAACCTGGGTGGGGCCAGGCCATAGCAGGGGCTGCGCAAATAACTGCAGTTTGAATGAATATGAAGAAGAGTCAAGAGAAGAAATGAGTCGGGGGCAGGGTAGGGAGCTGAGGGCCAGAGGCTGTCCACGAACTGGAAGGATAAAGGCCCCCACGTAAGCACAGCACAGCACAGCAGTCTTGTAGCTTAAGAACCGGCAGAGCAGGCAGACAGCAAACCCCACACTCGGTCCCATGGCCCTGAAACATGGTCGGTCGCCTCCGGAGGAGGCACACTCTGCTGGTGTCCAGGCCGGACTCTACCACATGCCTGGGGGAGGGAGAAGTAGATAAAGCTGGGGGCCAAGAGATGGCAGAGAGGGGCGACAGGCGCAAGGAATAGGGGAGACGAAACAAAGAGCTCTGAGATTAGCACGCTGGCTACAAGATCAGGAAGCAGTGACCGTCCTGGGGAGAATCCTGCCTGTCTTCGGATAAGGGGCACGTTAGGATTCCTGCAATTCCTGTCGCCGTGGCTAACGGTAAGGACGATCTGGTGATGCAAACACCCAATCGCTAAGGAGACACCCCCCCAGGTACCGGAAGGCAGCAACCAACCGCTCCAACCTCCTCCTGCTTCTTCTAACAACTTTCCCAGCTCAGCTGGGCCTCCACACGCTGGAGTTAAATTAACTCACTCCTTTTTCTGCTGGAGGAAAGGCTTCCCATTCCTCCAACAGTCTCCTTCCGAGCAGAGCCAAATGAATGCTTTCGAGGTGATGATTTTCCCCCCAGGCCCCTCCTGACATCACATGGCGGCCAGGAGTGTCGGGATAAAGACCGACCACCCACCGAAACGGTTTGTTCAGTGGACAGAGCGTTGGCCTGAAAACTGAAAGGTCCCATGTTCAATTCCGGTCAAGGGCATGTACATTGGTTGCGGGCACATCCCCAGTGGGGGGTGTGCAGGAGGCAGCTAGTCAATGTTTCTCTCTCATCCATGTTTCTAGCTCTCTATCCCTCTCCCTTCCTCTCTGTAAAAAATCAATTAAAAAAAAAAAAAAAAAAAAAGACCCAACCAATTCTACGCTGTGACATTTTGGGTGGGATCTCCTAAAGCAGGGATGGGGAACCTCTGGTCTGAGGGCCATAGAAGGCCGAGAAATCATTTGGTCTGGCCCTACCAAGGCATGAGGAGTGAGTTAATTTAAATGATTGGCCCATGAACGAGGTTATATTATAAATATCCAACTGGCCCTTGTAGAAAAAAAAAAAGCTTCCTAAATGCAACTACTTTCAAATCTATCTATCTATCTATCTTTCTATCTATCATCTTTCCCATCCATACTTGAAAACTAAAAATTAGCACTTTTCCCATCTGACTGCTCACCATGATTTCTCTAGAAATGAGCTTGGGCTGCGACTGGGTGTATCTTGCTACAGGAAGCAAAGGTGTCTTCCGAAAGCATTCCTCATTCACTCTCACCAACTCGCCTGGGGGAGCCGGGAGCAGGGAGCACGCACAGCCGGCCCGTCGGAGGGCAGCCTCCCAGCCCCTAGGATCAGCATGCCCGTGCCATGCACGCACTGCTCTGGCTATTCCGACCCCCAGCAACCCTCACCCAGTTTGTCACCAAATCTCACGACCCAAGCCTCAAATACTCCCTGAAGCCATGGCTCTGTCCACCCTGAGGCTTTTACCTCCATGTGTCTCGTGGTTGCTTCCCACTGCCCATAGGACCAAGTCCAAAATCTTTACTGTGGCTTCCCGGGCCCCCATCCACCGGCCACTGCTGATCTCCCCGGCTCCTCCCAGGTTACTCTCGCTGCCCACCCCAGGGGAGCCACGCTTCCCTTCTCCAAAGGCACGGAGCTGTCTCTCATTCTCTCTCTCTCTCTCTCTCTCTCTCTCTCTCTCTCTCACACACACACACACACACAAACACACACACACTTCTGCAGAAGAAACAGCACACGCTGGCACTGTTAGCGTTTGGTGAGATGCCAAGCCCCTCAGCCAGCTTTCCCAAGGCTCCTGAGGCGTTATCACCAGAATGCAGCAGGCCAGATAAAGGCTCTGCAATCCGCAGCCAAGACACGCAGTCCTCCCTCCCCCCCCCCCCGGGCAGGTGCCTCTGTGGGAGGGAGAAAGCCCAACGTCCCTCCCCTGCAGGCAGGCGGCAGGCAGTGTCGGTCTTTCCTCCCGAGAGAACAACCTGGGTACGAAGAGTGGGGCCATGTGCCAGTGTTCAAACCCACCGCCCCCACAGGTCACGGGACCCAGAGCTGGGCCTGGTGTTCTGGGCTCAACGCCCTGATGACCAGACAGCAGTAGCGGGGCGATGGGCCCTGGGGGGCCATGGAGAGCACTGCTTTGCACATTGGGCAGTCCGAGTTCCCGTCCTGGCTTCACCACCCCTTGCTGTGGACGTGGCACAGCCGTGGACACCTCTCTGTTCCTCGGGTTTTTCATCTAGAAAACAGCTCATTTTCTGTGAGAGGGCCCCTCTCACGGGGACTCTGTGAGAACTGAGGGGATGATGCTGGTAAAATACTGGGACTGGTGCCTGCCATTCGGTCAGTGCTCAGTCTGGCCGGTCCCTATAACTCCCTACCTGACCTCCTCACCTCGCCATCCCCTGCATCTCCACGGCGCTCTGGGATAGGACAGTCAGACTGGGGCCCGGGGGAGAGGTGTTCAGTGTATTAGTGATCTATCACCAATGCATGACAAGTCAACCCCAAACTCAGAGGCTTAATTAAACCAAACGTTTTTCATTGCCCAGTTTCTCTGGGTATCCAGGAGCAGCTTAGCTCTGGCTCAAGGCCAAGGTCAAAGTGTCTGCAGGGCCTTGGATAGCTGGAGGTTTCCCCAGAGGGGAGCCACTTCCAAGCTCACCACGTGGCTACTGGGAGGCTTCAGCTCTTTGCTGGCTACTGGTCAGGGCCTATCATGAGGCTGGTGAAAACATGGCAGCTTCATCGGGGGGTGGGGGAGGGCAGAGAAAAAGAGGGAAGAAAGCAGATGCCAGTCTGTGTAATCTAATCTTGGAACCGACATACCGCCCGTTCTGATGCTGTCATCTTTGTTAAAAAGCAAGGCACAATTTGTACAGCTGTGTTCACAGCAGCACTGCTTACAGTAGCCAAAAGGTGGAAGCAACGTGAGTGCTCATCAGCAGGTGAGTGGGCAAGCGGAATGCGGTGCGGGCATACAATGGAGTTCCGTGCCGCCTTAATTAACAAGGAATGAAGTTCTGACACCTGCCACAGCCCGGATGAAACCTTGAAGGCATTACACTGAGTAACGAATACGCCAGTCAGCAAAAGACAAATCTTGAGCGATTCCACTTATGTGAGATACTTAGAGAAGTCACATTAACAGAGGCAGAACGGAGAATGGAGGTGGCCAGGGCCTGGGGGCAGGAGGAGGGACTGGGGCCTTTTTGAATGGGTACAGAGTTCCAACGGTGGGAGATGGAATAGATCTGGAGACGGGGGTGCAATGATGTGAATGTACTTTAACACAACCAAACTGTACACTCCAAAATGGTTAAGGTGGTTCGTTTTATGTTATGTGTATTTTGCCACAATTATAAAAAAAAAAAGAAAAAAAAGAAAAAAGAATGAGCTCCAGAGCTGCTTTCTGCACACATTTTGCCTGTCCTTGTCTCTGGACCTCAAGCATACAGATTCAGATGGGACACCATCCCTGGTTTGTGACCCACTGTCACCAGTGGTCTATGAATGACCCACACATTCATTTTTAATGACGTGACAAGCACTACCTTAAACAAAAGCCAGGACCTTGAAAAGAACCTGCATCTGACTTCTGAGCCCACTCCACCCATCCATCCCACCTCCTGACAGGAGCTGGCCAGTCACATCTTTCCCTGGCCTTTCTTTTTGCAGTTTTATCACGTCTATAAACTGTGGTACATTCCCACAGTGGAATACTGAATCACAATCAAGAAAGTGAACTCTACCAGTAAACTATAATAGGGGTGAATCACAGCCATATAACATTAATTAAAAATAAAAAGGTAAAGCTCACATTCAAGGGGTACTAGTTTATACCCGAAAAATATACTTCTTAGATTGCCTTAAAATGGATGTACATTCTTACGTCTTTGTATTTTGGCCTCACCACTGAAGAAACTACATGTTTACAGGAAAACAGTCAATGAGTTAAGAAAGGTACCCGGTCAGGTTTCACCAGAGAGGATACGACCCTGCTGAGCCACCCCGTGTTCTCTAAAATGCTCATCTTTCCGCCCCAAATGGCATCCTCCGGCTTCCAGAAAACAGCTCTGAGGCCGAGAGCCCGGAGAGGAGCAGGCGACCCACACAGAGGAAACAGAGGAAACACGCACATGGGGAACGCCCGCTTTGCTCATCATCCGAGAAACGCAGATGAAAGCATGTGGGAGGCCATCGTTCTGGGTCTGCAAAATTAGCAAAAAACCGAGAAAACAGGACTACGGCGAACGCCTGGGGTATCCCAGGGAAACTGACGTGTGCAGACAATGTGAGCCGCCGGGTGAAGCCAAAAAATGATTCCCAACACACCACACCCATGGCTCACCCCGCGGAACTCATCCCGCACGAGAAATCCAACGTAAGGAATAGCCTTGAGGGCCCCTGATGATGCAGCGACTCAGAAAGCCACAGCAGAGGCCGGCAAGGAATCCCCTATGCTACTTAACACGAGAAGAACAAAAGGGACGGTGCTTCTAGTTGGCACCACGTCTGCAAGGGCTGTGGGGTCAAGTGCAAGCATGAACACAGTGCGCACGTGTGGAGGTGGGCCTGGGTGTCTGTTCTCCCTCCCTGGGTGCCCGAGGGTGGGGCTGAGATCCTTGGTGAGCGCCGGGCGGCCCCTACCTTGCGAGCTCTCGCAGCTTTCCTCGTCGCTGTTGTCCTGGCAGTTGTTCTGGCCGTCGCAGATGAAGCTCTTGTCGATGCAGAGTCCGTTCTTACAGTGGTAGCGGGCGGTGGAGCAGAGCAGAGGGTTTGCTGCTGTGAAGGGAAGAGAGAGCCGGTCACCAGGGAGCCAGCCAGTCCCAGGGGCACCCGCAAACATCCTCCCGCCAGCAGGGAGTCCTGCTCTGGAGGCGGTGAGCTCACCTCCGAAGACGGCCAACTCGATCAGAGCCGGTCCTGGGAGCCTGGACAGACAGTGACCTGGGCAGGACTCCCTCCACCCCGTTCCAAAAGCAACTTCACCCGAGCCACCAGGCTGGTGCCCTGTAACCATGCCAACACTGGGCTGGTGCCCTGTGACCATATCAACACAGCCAGAGGGCACTGCCTGGCCCCTGGGTCAACCTGTAGGCAGCCCAGCAGGGGGCCTGGGCCAGATGGGAAAAAGTCCTGGCAGAGTTGTGAGTGGAATGCACATGCTACAAACATGTGTTTCTATGTGTGCATGTGTCTATGTAGATGGCTCAGATCTTCAAGACGAACTAAGGCTGAACAGACCGTGTAAGACACAGCTCTGTTAAAGAATCCAGACCAAAGACCCAGTCACTGGCGGGTATGAACACATGTAACCAAAAGGATCAGAAGCCAGAATACATAAAGAACTCCAGGCACTGGAGCATGAGACGCACAGGACAGCAAAGCCAGAAGGAGCTGAGGCGGGGACCCAGGAACCTCTGGCACCCAGGGAGGGATGCCAGGAACTGGTCCAGGAGCTAAGCCGGACCCTCCCGGCTCCCTAACTGTGGGCCAGCACCTTAATTTTTTGTGCATCGTTATAGTTCCCTTCATCCAGTGGTCTCTCTCCCTTCTCTGTAGTCTAAGGAGCCCATGGACCTAACTGATTGGCCTGCTTGGCTCCCAGGGGTTGGCAACTGGCCGGTGTTGGGGTCACCACAAAACTATTTAACGACAACGTAAGCAAATCTCTACAGAAAAACCAGTGTTTCTACAGCACAATCGGCCTCATTCCTGTTGGGGCAGTTCCCACAAGGCTCTTTGGAGCTCCGTTTTAAATCAGTGAAGTAGCAAAGGAGAAAGCCCTCTGCTCCCAGCCCTGACAGGCACTAGCTGTGCAATCTCGGGCAAATGACATCCCCTCTCAAGCCTCAGCGCCTCGGTCTGTGGGCAGGACCGGCCACCTGATTTTCAGGGCTCAGTGCGAGCTGGAAAACGTAGGCCAACTGTTGGAAAATTATATAAAAATTCAAGAAGGTAAACGCAGCCGAAACCAGTCTGGCTCAATGGATAGAGCGTTGGTCTGCAGACTGACAGGTCCCAGGTTCAATTCCGGTCAAGGGCATGTACCTTGGTTGCGGGCAAATCCCCGGTAGGGGGTGTGCAGGAGGCAACTGGTTGATGTTTCTCTCTCATCGATGTTTCTAGTTCTCTGTCCCTCTCCCTTCCTCTCTGAAAAATATCAATAAAATATATTTTTAAAAAAGAAAAGAAGGCAAGTGCAGGGCGTAAAAGCAAGCGTGGTGGTTCCCTTCCTTCTAAGGTAAGCACAGGCCCGGGAAGCTGGCCAGGCTGCGGACGGCACTAATGTGAGCATCACCCGAGAGGACAGGTGAGGAAGTGTGCAGGGCGGTCTGACACCTGGCACAGCACCGGGAACAGTCCCCTAGGGCTGCCCGGAGGTGGCGCTCCCTGAAGGAGCAAATTGGTGACGATGAAGCGGGCTCATCCTAGAACATGGGGATCCACTGAGCCCACACCTGGATGACACGAGTGGGAAGAGCACCAGAGTGGGAGGCCGGACCAGGCAGAAGAGTTCGATGGGGTCAGGGGCAAGGAGATCCGGGGTCTCCTGGGGCAACAGCAAGACAACAACTCTCATCTGTCTTCCCGTGCGCCTCACTGAGCCACAGTAAGGCAGGCGGAGATCATGGCTGCAGGGTCTGTGAATTCATGGGGTCCACACACCCGAAAAGCCGTAGGGTTCTTCTTGATTCAACTGGGAAAGTTTGAAGTGAAAGGTCCGAGGACTGGGAGGGGGAGGGGAAGCCAGGGCTCTCAGTTCTGAAGAGGACGGTCCAGTGCAGAGTCCAACAAAAACACTCTGGCCTGGAACTGGGAGTTGTAAGTCTCTACATCGCTGTGGCCCACAGAATGGTTCAACGTGATGGGGCTGAGACCAAGGTCTGACTCCAGCCAAAATCAAAACGGAGAAACCCAAAACCTCAAAGCACATCCGGTTTCTGTCCAAGGCAGCCCTCCAAACCCTCCCTGCCCCACCACGGTGGCCTTCAGCTTCCCTGGGACCTTGCGGGTCACTCTGCACAGCCACAGCCGGGGCAACCATCAGCTGGGGAGGCCACTCTAATTGCTCCAAGACCGGCTGATTGCAAGCCTCTGTGTCTCTCCTAGTGAGGAAGGCTGTTTTCCATCAACCTCACCGCCACTGCTGGCGACCACTTCCTTTTCTTCACCCTCGGCCTCTCACAAAGGTAGATGGTGCAAGCCTTCCCAAGAAAAAGAAGCCGTGTGTGTGTGTGTGTGTGTGTGTGTGTGCGCGCATAGGCACATGCTTCTAACATGTGTACATATGTGTGCATGTGTCTATTAAGATGGCTCGTATCTTCAAGATGAACTAAGGCTGACCAGACCATGAGACACAGCTCTGGTAAAGAATCCAGACCGAAGGCCCAGTCACTGGCGGGTATGAACACATGTAACCGAAAGAATCAGAAGCCAGAATACATAAACTCCCGTCACTCCAAAGGAAAAAAGGCAACTCAGTAGGGAGATTGCAGAGGATATGATGAGCAGGCAACTCCCACAAGGACAATGGTCACCAGCGACCTGAAAGAACGCTGACCTGTAATGAAGGTCCACGTTAACCGCACCAGGAGCCCAGCTTAAGGTCTGAGAACGCCAGGCTGCTGGCAGGATGTGCGGGGAGAGGAAGTCTCACAGACAGCAGGTGGGAGTGCAAATTGGCGGGTCCGCCTCGGAGGCCAGCTTAGGGACATTCAGTCCAATTTAAGGTGCAGATGAGCATCCAGCTAGCTGCTCTATGGAGATTTTGAGGACAAGAGAAAGTGCTACCGAGCACTGTGTGTAAAATATTAAAAATTTTAAAATGGCCCAAATGTCACCCATAGAAGAATAGCTACAATGTGCTAGATTGCTGCATCAGAAGTCTACCGGCAGGCCTGGCTCACATTTTCTGTAAAGGGCCAGACAGCAAATATTTGAGGTTTTGCTAACCCTTCGGTGTTTGTCTTACCTACTCCACTTTCCCACGGTAGTGCAAAGGCAGCGACAGAAGATTCGTAAACAAAGGACGTGGCTGGGTTCCAATAAAGCTTTATTTATAAAAGCAGGTAGGAGGCCAAATTTGGTCCAGGGGCCATTGCTCGCCAACCTCTGCTCAACGGTAGTGAAAAATGAATGAACCGGAGACAAGAAGCCCAATTTTCATAAATATAATAGTGAGGGAGAAAAGCAAGTTAGGGAAGAATATGTACAATACTGTGCCACCTGCGTGAGGGTACCCGTGCAAAAGAATGCTTCTTATGGTCAATGGACACAAAAACATGTACTGAAAGAATAAAAACTTGCAGTGAAAGAAACAAGGCTATAAATTCAGGATGCTGGGTGCCCCAGGAGAGAAGGGTAGGATCTGAGAAGGAAACACTGCAGGCTTGTAATGATACGTGATAGCATCTTATTATTTTATACTCTGAGGCAAAAAAAAAAAGCAGTATGGAAATATGATTTTTTAATTGAGATATAACTGACAAAGAACATTATATTAGTTTCAGGTGTACAACAGAATGATTTGGTATTTGTATATACTGCAAACAGATCACCTCAATAAATCTAATTAACATCCATCACCACCCGTGATTAAGTTTTTGTGTCAGTGTTACAAAATTTTTTTTTTTAAGATCTACATACTCTTGGCAACTTTCAAATAGACAATGCAGTTTGATTAACTATAGTTAATATAGTTGTATATGTGTTATCATAATGTAATGCAGCATTAATAACACGATATAGTGTTGTTAACTAGAGTTAATGTAGTTATGACAACAGAATAGTAACTATAGGCCATATCATTACTAAAGCGAGGGGTACTGGGAACACAGAAGTCCTTTCAATTTTCGTTTTCCTTTTCACTACGTTTGAAAGGCTTCACTGAGAAGTTTCAAGAGCCTAGTTTGGCAAACATGTTTTAGTGATTGTTCCCTTTCCTCTCCCCCTTTCCCCCCATGATCCTCTTGGGCTCACAAACACCTGCTTTTGGTGTCCTTCACACTTAGGTGCCCAGCTGCTTAGTTGACGCGCTTGAAAACCGTTACACCTGGACTCCTTCTTGCCAAAGGCTCCTCATGAAACACACCCTGCCCTCGACCCCCAATGCAGGCAGAGAAAACAGGTGAGGGTGCTGGGGGAACGCTCCCCCACCCCGCAGAAGGCCAGGAAAAAGGCCTGGGAACCGTCGGAACACATGGTCCCTGCCCTCCTGGGAGCTCCGGGGAAGGGCTCTGGGCCTCCCCTCCTTCAGGGCCTGCCGATTCTGTTTATGTAAATTCGAATGAGGTGTGTGTTCCGGTTCCCAGGTACATAGCAAATTAGAAGGGAAACTAGAAAAGCTACATATATATATATATATATATATATATATATATATATATATATATATATATCCACCACAAGAATGCCACAAACAGAGCAGCCTAAGATAGCTTCGGAAGAGACCAGGACGTTCTAAAAGGAGCCAAAGGCAGCCCTGGATCACAACCCAATCTAAAAATGAAAGCCCCTAAAAAAAGCCAGCGCCGCCCCCACCCCTCGCTTCACCAGCTAAATACGGATGCAACCCATCTCAGAGAAATCCCTGTCAGCTGGTCCAAACCTCCAAAGCATACATGGTCAATTCCTAGGCTGACTCCCCGACACCCCGAGATTGCTCAAGTCCCAGGCACTGCTTCCAGGGCCTCTGCAGCTGTGAACCAGACTTCGCCGGGCTTCCAGGCCCCGTGCGTGCGTGGGACTGCGGTGCAGGATCCAGGCTCAGGGCGGGCAGG